ATGATTCGCTCTGTTTCGATGGTAAAATCTGGAGAGGGCATTGTTGACTCTACACTGTCACCAGCATATGCTGTTGAAAACAAAAGATTTGTTAGAAAAATATTGCAATTGAACAGTCTTTCTGATGCTGAAAAAAGTAATTTTCCTATATATGTAGGCCCAAGTAGATTTTTTTTTTGCAAGTTTTCATTGTAATTTTTGTTGTAGGCGCCAGGAAAGTTAAACAGATAACGTGCCCTTGTGTTCTCCATTTGTTCTTCTAATTATCCATGTCCTCCGTTGCCTATACCTGGTAACCCTATATTATTAGTAATCTCTCCTGCCTCTGTTTGAAGTCATTGCAGTTATCTGACCTCCCCCAAAGATAGTAACAAGCTTAACAAATTTCTACACTTTCAGCCTGCCCTTGGATAGTGCTGTTATAAGGACACACAGTAAACAATGGCTTCAGCTTGTCTTAGTCGTGGGCTGGGGTTAAGATGAAGACAATATTATGTGGGTACAACAGAAAAAAAAACTGTTACCAAGACACGTTTACAAGTGGAGAAAGATCTGCAACTAATGTAAAAGCTGCCATTTTTACAGAGGAATTTCCCTTTAGAAATCTCAGCATGAAATTACTCAACTGGAAGTATCAAAATATGTTAATCCATCGTTTATGGCATAAAGTCATTTTCTCATACACTACAGATGTCAGAAACAAGCTACATGCAATTGTACTCATAGCACATGTTTAAACATGTTTGAGTGAAAAAGCAGATTCCTAATTTGGGATATCTTAAATCTGGATTCTAAGCTTCCTCTGCATAACCACCCACATACAGTAGATTAAAAAAAAAAAATCACTGGGGAAATGTTTTCTCTAAAATTAAAAATGATGCAACCCCATCCCAATAAGAGCAAGTTTTAGAATAAGATTGTCAGAATAAGCATACTTATTTCTGCAAAGTAAAAAAAAAAAACCCACCAGAGTAAGCACTGTTTTATTAAACACACAGTACCATATATAATACACTACATTAAAGCATGATTTATTTTAACCATGCTTTGTTGGTTTAAACAATGGCCAAGTTCAAAAATGATGTACCATAATTTATAAATCATAGCAGTTGGATATATGCGATACATTAAACTAGACCAAGCCATATTAGCACAATACATAAAATCAGTCATTTTTCATTCACGTATATATAAATACAGAGAATGATTTCCACAGCGTCTGGCGTCTGCAGTTTGGGCTTAGTTCATAGAATGATTTCAGCCCCCATGGCTGACAGCAGAGTGTTTCCCATCATTCCTGCACAGCTACAGCAACTGGATCCCAGTTACTCCTTTCTCCAGACACAACAGGAGGAAAGGGAAACATATTATAGGAGCCTCTGTGGAGCAGTGGTTAGAATGCAGTACTGCAAGCTACTTCTGCAGCCTACAATTTGGCAGTTCAAATCCCACCAGGCTCAAGGTCAACTCAGCCTTCCATCCTTCCGAGGTGGGTAAAATGAGGACCCAAATTGTTGGGGACAATAGGCTGACTCTGTAAACCGCTTTGAGAGGACTATAAAGTGGTATATAAGTCTAAGTGCTTATTGCTATTGCTATATTCCCATAGCAGGTCCTTTCCTAGTTGCTGCATGATGTCATGATCTTATTGTAGTCCATCAGAAATAATAACAGCTTTTCATCACTTATCGACAAGGGCTAAAATCAATTTTCAAGTGAAGACTGGCGAATCTGTGGCCTGCTGGATATTGCTAAAACTCTGAGCAGACTCAACCAGCATGATCAATGAGGGAAGATAGGCGTTATAGTTGAGCCACATCTATATACATCTACTCCCTCTTTTGTTTGTGGCAGCCCACTTGATAAAAAGCGTCCACGAAAGAGACCTAAAATAAGATGTATCATGTTGGGCTCAATTGGCAAAGGGAAAGCTCAGGAGCCTATTGATTGGAAACTTGCTGAAGAGGCCTTCATCCTGCAGTGGATAGACAATGATAGAATGATGATGATGATGATGATGAAGTATCAACCACGTCGGTCAGGTTCATTTCTGAATTGATCCCAAGTGGTTTGCACGGCTGCAACCTTGCCTATGCATATGCTTAGGGCACAAGTTCTTCCTTGTGGAGACAAACGCGGGCAGAACGGCTAGGAGAGCGGCCATTCCCGAAAACTACAGCCCCGCCCCACGCCTTGGTGAAATGAACTCGGGGCTCCGCATCTGCCCTCCACCGGCCCACGTTGAGCCAGAGCAAAGGGCGGAATACTCCCTGCGCAATAGTAGCCTCCAGAAGCCACGTGCGCCTCAGCGTCGAAGCAGGGAGTGGCCCGGAGTAGAAGGCCGGCAGAGGAGGCGGGAAGAGAAGGAGAGCGAGAGAGAGAGAGAGAGAGAGAGAGGGGAGGACCCGGGGACCGCGGCCTCGAGTCACCGCTCTCCGAACAGAGCATCAGCCGGACGCCGCCTTGGGCTGCTATGGAGGGCGCCGGTGACCGCCTCGGCTTCGAGCACCGCCGCTGCCCGTGAATTGTCGCCCCCCCCACCCCAGCTCTTTTCAGCGAGGTGAGTCCACCATCGTCGTGGGTGGGTGGGAGAAGGAGCGCCCCTCATCCGCAGCCACTTGGCGGCCCCCTTTGGACACTCAGGCGCCGGAACGCGGCAACTCCGGATGGCTTCTTTCTTCAAGCGAGACCAGCTTCTCTCCTCGAAAATAAATTGGGGCTGGGGGGAAATTATTAACCAGTGTCGCGCGCTGGAAAAAAACATCTCAACGCCCGGGGTTCGCGGTCTTTTATGCATGCCATCCTGAGTTGTTTTTTTTTTCCTTCAACGAGTAAAGGGCATTTCTTCTTCGGTTTTTGGGCTGCTGCATTTCTTCTCTCTCTCAAGGCGGCGGAGGGGAAGTGGTGGTGGGGGGCGGCCGGAGGAAACCTGGCTCCTCTGGGCAGCCTTTGCCTAACCTCGGTTCCCCCCCACCCCCAGCCTTGGCTGTTCTTGGGAGTCGGGAAAGCCGCCCCCCCCCTTCATCGCTTCTCCTCTCCCCCGCCTGACGCGCCACAACGAGTGGCCCGTTAGTTCTCCCAGGGAGAAATGCACCTCCCCGCTTGCGCATTGTTGCTCTGTTTGGCCGGACTCTGTGACTCCCCGGAGGAAAACTTTCCATAACGTCCCGTCTCCCGTAGTTAACTTTTTTTCCCTCCCTAGACTCCGCTTTCAGCGAAGGAAGGAAACGGTGGGAGGGGGGGAGAGGGGCGGCCACCCCTTTTGCTGAGGCTGGAGGCAAGCAGGGGAGAAGCGCGGGATGTTTCCCGCCGCTGCCGACGACGCGTCTTCGCCGGCAGAAGCGATGGAGGCAGAAGCCGAAGCTGAAAAGTGGCGGTTTCAAGGCCGGCTACCGTGCAGTAGCTAGAAGGGGATATAGGAAGGAGTGGAAAAGTTGCAATGCGTAGCTTCAGTTTCGGGCGGACTGATTTTTACTCGTCTCAGTATGACGCCTGCCAAATCTCGCTTGTTTACTGTATGCTACCTCTGGGTGGCCGTGACGGCTGGGGATGATGGGAGAGATACTCCAATGTCTGAGGATGGATTACACAGGATCTAAGAGAGCGATGAATTATGCTGTAAGGCATTCCTCTTGATGTATTCCAGTCGCATCTCTCTTCCTAGGAAAAAGAGGAACATTAAAAAAATATTGCTGTTAAAGATGAAAATAGACAACTCGTATTGAATTGTTGTTATTAGTTACGAAGTAATAACCGACCCATCCCGACCCCATGGACAATGTTCCTTCAGGACTACCATCTTCTGGAGTCCATTTCAGCTCACGCCTCTTGCTTCAGTGGACTCCATCCACCTGGTTCTCTGTTGCCCTCAATCTTTCCCAGCATTATGCTCTTCTCCAGTGAGTCCTTCTCATTAGGTGGCCAAAGTATTTAAGTTTCATTCCTATTGAACAGTTATTGTCATCCCTGTTGCTATAGTACAAAGGAAAAAAAATGGAATTATTAGGGCAATGTTAAATAGCTCTCATATTTCCAGCGACTGTGGTGAGACAGAAATAGGGAAATATTAACTTGCCAAATGGAAAACCTTTGGATTCTATTTTTCCTCATCCTCAGCTAATATTTGGGGATTATGGGAACTGAAGTCCAGTAACATCACAAAGGCCTTATATTATGGTTCTTGCTTCTCCCAAGGATGTAGTGAAAATTAAGATAAAGCGGGATTTCAGAAGTGGTGGGAAATTTACTGTGCAACCATCCTGCCTTCTTCATTTAAAATTATAATCTTACTGTTATCTGGTAATAAGACTCATTAATTATCTATTTTGAATATGCATATAAAGGATTGTGCTTTTGGAACAGATTTAATTTGCAGTCTTTTAACTGTTTACAGAGAAGATAACCGTATCTAAGAGATAAGTCATCACTTTATGTGGTTTCCTAATTTGTGAGATATGCAACCCTAATGAATAGATATGATTGAGTGAATAAAAAGCCTTGAGGTAACTAAGTCTGATTGTTTTCCTTTCACTTAAAAATAGTTCCTTCAACTATGTAATGGAGTGTTGTTTGTATTCATATTGATATGAGATGGGTGTTGGCTGCCAGCTTTTCTTTATCGTTTAATTCCATTAAGGATACTGAGCGTACTGTAAAAGCTCCCACATTCACGCTAATGTTTTATTCCTTTTGGAAGGCAAGCTCTTACTTCATATTGTAAAACAGAAGATTTTGAATTTTCAATCTAGGACTCCCTGTAGGTTTTTGATATGCTTATTGGCGGGTTGCAATTTTTATAACTTATTGGAACACAATAGAAAAGACTAGTAGGGCAGCATTGTATGGGTGCTTTATCCATATTGGGGGGGAGGGGGGATAGTGAGGATATTTGGATTTATTTATTTTTTCAAATTGTTCCAAGAGAAGAAACTGGTAGTTGTAATGTTCATCCAGAGAGCTGGTATGACCACAGAATGGCTCTCTGGATGAACACAGCCCATCAAAGTTATAATTTTTTCCCCCTTATTCTGTACTGGCCTGCCTGATTGTAAGGTTCAGAATTGGAGGAACATGGACTGATGGGTTCACCTTGCAGCTCAGGAGCCAGTAGGCTCCCAGATGAGGTTCAGGAAGAAAAGCCTTTTGAAGGATGAGCCTGCAATTCTGGAACAGTCAAGTAACCAGCACCCCACCCCCTTGCAGAAGCACAGCAGTCACCTAAAGTAGACCCTGGACCCCAAAAGATTCTCACACATATAGAAAGTTCAGGTGAGTGCAGCGCTCTTCATTTAGCAGCAACTATTCCAAATATGATGGTAATAAGAAATTCTGACCAATGCATTTATTTACGGCCAAATTTCGTGGGCCTGACAACAAAAGTCTTCAGTATAAAACTGATTCAGGCCACAGCACCAGCCAGGAGAGGGTTCTACTCAACTAATTGGTTGAATAGGTTAGCTTGCAATTAACACTTTTTAGGGAAGCTGTGGGAGAAAAGCAGCTCAGGAAGAGATAGCTTTGCCTTAAGCAGGCTCTGCCCTGCAAGGGGGCAAAAGCAGGGACAGGGACAGGACACGCGATGAGATAACTTTGTACGAATGAGATGGCAGCCATCTTTGCAGCATCTCTCTCTCTCTCTCTCAGATACGTCAGATACGTGTTTATATAGTGACCATTTTGCTTATTGACCAAATTGTTAGGACAGATTGTGGACACTAAATGAGGAGAGGGTGTAGTTGTTCACTGAGCCGAGAAATCTGGCTTAGTGAAGAAAGAGGCATGATACAGGGAAATGGACACATGTTATAAAAGAGGGCTTTTTTTGAGAGTCAGACTTCTGTGGGTGATAATTTTCCTGCCTTGGACTTGGCTTCCTGATAGCCTGCTGCTTTTGATTCTGTAAGTGTTCTGTGAACTAGTACAAAGACTGCACTCAAGTCTGATGCCTTGGTGTTAGATTTGCCTGCATGGGAACTCTTGGCTTTTGAAGTATGTTGGGTGGCATTTCCTCTTATCTTCCCATATTGCCATCATGAAAACTTCTTTTGTATTTGTTAGCACAGGACACATTCTAACCATCCCCTCTGTCTTTCCAACAAGCTGTCAGCTCTCTTTTAATCCCTTTTTCTCTGCGCTCCTCTTCCCTCCTTTTCTTTTTTCAACCCATCTGGGCAAGCTTCTAAATATAGCAGTGGACTGTATCTACCTATCACAATGATTTTGTCTGTTGCTTCTGAGCCCTGTGAAAAACTATTAAAAACTATTCTGTTTTTAAAAAAAAACAGCAACTCTTTTTTTTTTCTCAGCATAGGAGGAGCAGAGACTTAGTAGGAACCAAGAGAGATGTTTGGTCTCATCGCAGTGTATATCAAAGAACTCCACTTAGTTTGCTTATTGCTATTTCATTGTGCATCAGGGGCTTGGTTTGATTTCATACTTCCTTAATGGCAGCATCACTTTGCAACTAAGTAAGTGTCAGGCACAAAATACTAGGTTCACAGATGACGGTCCAATGAAGCTGATTTATTGCTAAAAGTCTTTGGACAGAAATCTTATTTCATAGTTAGAGTTAGATAAGAGTTAGCGGCACTCAAGGGGGTCGAACTTAGTTCATTTGTGGCTACATAGGGATTCTAGGCTGATTCCTCTTTTCACTCTGCCACCAGGTTCTATCCTTCCTGTTCCTATAATATCACATGCCTCAGAGCGTCTCATGTAACGTAAGGAGGCTTATGGAAAGAAGCTGACATCCGGTGACATTGATTAGGCTGTCCATGCTTTAGCTGCTGGGAAATTTGCAGTATTCTCTTTATAGACTGACATTGGTCATTCATCTTATTTACTATCAGTCTTTTACAATAAACAAAAGTGAGACATCCATTTGTATTGACACACCCAAAGCTGGAAGATGAAGTTTTTAAAACTAGTTTGAGGGCCTATTTAGGATTGGAAACATAGTTTTTTTAAGCACCTGTGGTTTGTGAATCATTTCCTTTTTTTTCTGTTGTTTTTAATCAGTTGGAACACACTGATGTTTCTTCCTGCTTTTCTATTCAGATTATCGTAGCTCATGTACAGTTTTTTTTCTGCTCAAGGTGCAGCAAAGAAATTGTCTTATATGAAGACTGGCTTTTTATTTATTTATTTTTATCCTGCCTTTATTTTTATTTTTTTTAATAAATAATTCAATTTCCTCCTCCTATTTTCCCCACGGCTATCACGGGAGGTGGGTTTGGCTGAGAGAGAATGATTGGGCCAAAATCACCCAGCCGGCTTTCATGCCTAAGGCAGGGTGAGAATTCAGAGTCTCTTGGTTTCGAGCCTAGTGCCTTAAACACTAGACGAAACGGGTGCACATTTCAGTTAGTGTTAATTTCCCTTGAAGCCCTTGGTTTCAGATAGATCTTTTTCAATGTTAGGCAGAAATGCCAGTAGCTGAATCAGTTACGTAGCATGCTGTTCTGAAGTGGGGTTCTTTCTTACAGGTGTGGGAGAGATTGTGAGGAAGTTGAGAAAGGAAGGGAAGGCAGACCCACCCAGTTCTCAGTTGACAGCTTCTGA